TACCATGTGAATTCATGGATTTTTTTTTCACATTCTGTCTCTCACAGTTGAAGTGTACCTCTGGTGCAAATTACTGACCTCTGTCATCATTTTAAGTAGGGGAACTTGCACAATCGGTGGCTGACTAAATACTTTTTTGCCCCACTGTACATCTTTGCACAGATGATATTTAAGTATTCATTACTGATTTTCTGGACATGAATGTCAACTAAAGTACCAAAAGTTTCTTCAGTCTTGACTGAAGAAGTCACTTGGGTCACTTGGATGAGTGACGAAACATTTCTCCCACAAAACGCTACGTCCAGATGAACAGAATCAACTTTTGGAAATTTACTTACCTGGATGATTGAGCATGCATCAAGACATACATATGGTGTATGACACACATACAAAATAATTTGGAACTAAGGAATCTGATTTGGTCTTCAATCTCTTCTTCTTTTTTTTTTGTCTCTCCATGCTTATGTATTCACTATTCTCTTTCCCAGCATCCCCCACCCAGTCGTGGTAGATTGTCCATTTGGTTCCTCATGCCATTTAACGTATGTTTCTTTAAAGGGGAGTTCTTCATTCACACAGTAACAAAGTGTACACAGAGGACTGTTGATTTTTGGGGCTTTCTCTCTAATATTGTAGTGTTACCATACATTATAACAACTTGAGATAACTGTTATTGTCTGTTGAGAATTATGTCTTATAAATAAAACTGATTAATATTGAATGGATGTAAATGAATATATGTTATTGTATCTGACAAACAAAAAATCATTATTCACAGATGGATTGTTGTTTTCTGTGTCTGCAGTCTGTCAGGCTGTCTGATCACAGAGGAAGGCTGTACTTCTCTGGCCTCAGCTCTGAACCCCAATGCCTCCCATCTGAGAGAGCTGGACCTGAGCTACAATCATCCAGGAGACGTAGGAATTACACTACTGTTAACTGGACTGAACGATCCATGCTGGAGACTGGACACTCTCAGGTATGGAGAGAATGGCTGTTTCTCAATACTAGAGATGGACTGGTCCGATACTGACGTAAATTACTGGATCGGATATCGGAGAAAAATAAAAACTGTAATCTGATCCATTAAATATCAAAAAAGCACCTCACAAAACTTGCGACACGGCGTAACCCGGCTCATAACTGTAGCTCGTTGCAGCAGTATGCGTCACGTGATAGAGCAGCTGTGTGTATTTGTAGCCTTGCTGCCAAACCGGCATTTCATCTCCGAGAAAGTTTTCCCAGAGAGAAGTAAAGCAAGTGTGTAAGTTCATCTCTGAATGTTTGTAAAGCATTCCGGCGTTAAGCTTAACAACCGATATATGGAGCGACTGCCTCCCTCCTTCTCCTGCTGCTACTTCAATCGTGAAACTGATCAATGATCAGCTGATCGGCTTTTCTGTCGCGAGTCCGTCTCTCTTCTTTGTTTATCGCCCACTTCGCGCCAGAAAGAGGAAACCAGCGGCTGAACAACAGCAACACGTTTAAGCTTGAAGCTATTGTTAGAATTTATTTATTTACGTTCTACACCAGGATCTTTTTCTATGTAGCTGACGGCTGGTAACTGTGCAGGGACGGATCTAGCAAGGTTTAGCCAGGGGGGCCGATAGGGCATGATCAGGGAAAAGGGGGCACAAAGACATCCTTTTCTTTCTTATTTTCTTTTAAAATGTCGAGCTTTTAATAAATAATTATCTGACTCTTAAACCCAAAGCTTTAATCTGATGTAAAATGTATAGAAGTCCATTACTGTATATAGTAACTGTTAAGTCTAATATACCCTAGTAAGCTATACTACTTTTTCCTTTTGGAAGGTACGATCTGTGCAGTCTGCAGTTCTGTTGAAGAAAGATGTTGAATCTATTTCATTATTCTTAAAAATAATTGACTTCTGTGTATTTTTTTTCACACTTGTGGGTGGGTGGTTCCCTATTTTATTTTATTTTATTTTATTTTTTTTTTTGCTGGGCGTTTTAGAACCCTATCTGGTTGCTTACTCTTTAAAACACCAGAACAGGGAGGATGGAGTAGGTAGGTTTAAGTTTATTAGATTGATCAGTATCGCTGAACTATGACATATTTTGGGTGCAGTTTTTGCATACAGGTATAACAGAATAGCTTTAGTGTTGTTGTTTTTTTTACTTGAGTATGAACTTATACAAAAAGCAGAAAGACATTAAAAAACAGTTTTATTGATTAAAAAACACACTATATCGGATTCATATCGGTATCGGCAGATATCCAAATTTATTTATCGGTATCAGACATAAAAAAGTGGTATCGTGCCATCTCTACTCAATACTCAAGTAGACACGTCTGCTATATTAAGTGAATTGGGCCCGGCTGATCACAGCCCGAAAAAGTGACATGGGCCCACTCTCCAACAACATCTGAATGACACTCTGTAGGGGTCCGGTGAAATGTGTGCTGGGGGTTAGGAGTCAGGGAATGGGTCTTGACTGTCTGCACTGAATGACAGTTCAGACTACCTGGTCTTCTTGGACTGCCTGGGCAGTGTTTGAGGTTCTCTATGTGAGGACTGTGTCATCCTACTCTAAGATGTCAACGCTCATGTGGGCAATGACAATGAGACCTTGAGGGGTGTGATTGTGAGGAACAGCCTTCCAGATCTGAACACAAGTGGTGCTCTGTCACTGCTGCAGGTGCACTCTGAACACCCGGCAGATGCCCCGGTCCGCAAGATCTTCAACTCCAACCTCCGGCAAAGCTTCAACAGCATTGTTCAGCACTTTGTTTAACACATCCATTGACTGAGCTGACCTGAGTCCAATTGAGATGTTACGGCAGCTTGAAAACCCGCCTGTGGCTTGGTGAAGCTGATGCAGTCACAAGGTGGTTGATGACTGTCATTGCAGTAATCCCTGAACCAGATGTCTTGATGCATGCTCAATCATCCTGATAGGGAATTCCCCAAAACTTTATTCTGTTCATCAGGACATACCGTTTTCAATAGGAGTAATGTTTCATCACTCATGTGACTGCAGGTTTATCCAACCTTTTTAAACATTAATTTATACAATGGCTGAAACTAGCTTCACTGGTGAATAACGGGCTTTGAGGTCAGTTTCTTGATCCACACCAGATGGTGGACACCAGAGGTGAAGGGAGCCACCAGGCTGAAGAAGGAGTACTATCGGGTTTGGTTAGCTTGTGGGACTTCGGAGACAGCTGATAGGTCCTGACAAGTCAAGCAGAATGCAACTCAGGCAGTGGCTGAAGCAAAAACTTGAGTGTGGGAAGAGTTCAGAGAGTCCATGAAAAAAAAGACTTTCCCTTTCTGAGCCACCTGACGATTTGCCAGGATCTCTTTAAAGCAGTCCGAAAGCACTGCTGTACCTGCACTGTGTATATTGCAGGTGGAGAGCTGCTGACTTTGACTGAGGACATTGTCAGGCGGACATACTTTGATGACCTTATTGAAGACCTACCACTGGCACATTTTCCATAGAGGGACGTCCCTGGACTGGCTGAGGTTTGCCCTAAATTTGTGAACGGTCTAGACGTTGTAGCCCTGTCTTGGTTCACACACATCTACGATGTTGTGTGGCGATCAGGGGGCCAGTACCTGTTGATAGGCAGACCAGTGGTGGTACTCATATTCACGAAGGGAAAACCAAAGGTTGTGCTCTGAATATGGGGGAAATCACACTCCTTGGCCTACCTGAGAAAGCTTTCTATTTGTTAAAATAAAACTCTTCTTTTTTCACGTATGATGTGGTTCTGTTGGCTTTATCGGGTGATGGCCTCCCGCTTGCAATGAAGCAGTTCACAGCAGAGTGTGAAGAGGTGGGAATGACAATCAGCAACTCCAAATCTGAGCCTTGGTCATCAGACGGAAAAGGGTGGAGTGCCCACTCTGGATCAGGGATGATTTTCTGCCCCAAATCAGGGAGTTTAAGTATCTTGGGGTTTGTTCATGAGTGAGGGGAGAAGGGAGCGGGAGATGGACAGATAGATTGGTGCTTCAACTGCAGTGAAACCAACACGGTACTGGTCCGTCGTCACGAAGAGAGAGCTGAGCGTAAAAGCAAAGCTCTAAATTTACTTGTCAACCTACGTCCATACCCTCATCTATGGTAACAAACTTTGGGTAGTGACCGAAAGAACGAGATCACAGATACAAGCGGTAAAAGACACCGATAAACCTGTTCATGTTCTGTTTTGAGAGCCATGTAATGTCCATGTGTGCATGCTGACTGTGCTGGTCTTGACCCCCCTCCTCCTTTCAGGGTGGAGCCTTCTGGAGTCCAATGGATGAGACCAGGTCTGAGGAAGTGTAAGTGTGTTTTTAATGTGATTCATGAAAACAAAGCAGCACACATTCAACCATCTTCATCATGTCAGGAGTCATCATCAAAGTGTCAATCAATGAACAGATGATGGATCAATAACTGCAGCTGGATTGTGTTTGTTCTCTCCATCAGATTCCTGTCAACTCACTATCGACACAAACACAGTACACAGAGAACTCAAACTGTCTGACAACAACAGGAAGGTGACACGTGTGTGGGAGGTTCAGCCATATCCTGATCATCCAGACAGATTTGATGGTTGTCCTCAGCTGCTGTGTAGAAATGGTCTGACTGGTCGCTGTTACTGGGAGGTCGAGTGGAGAGGAAATGTTTATATATCAGTGAGTTACAGAAGAATCAGAAGGAAAGGAAACAGTGGCACTGAGTTTGGACGGAATGATCAGTCCTGGAGTCTGATCTGCTCAGATGATGGTCCTCATTCTGTCCTTCACAATAACAGACAAACATCCATCTCCTCCTCTGTCTCTAACAGAGCAGCAGTGTATCTGGACTGTCCTGCTGGCACTCTGTCCTTCTACAGTGTCTCCTCTGACACTCTGATTCACATCCACACTTTCAACACCACATCCACTGAAAGTCTTTATCCTGGATTTAGGCTATTTTATGATTCCTCAGTGTCCCTGAGCTAAGTTGAGTGTAAAGAGTTTCCTCCTGTTTGAGAAACACTGTTGAACAGATAGTTCAGTCTGTACATGTCTGTCTCTTTCACTTAGAAACACGTTTTCAGATTCATGGATTCAATCAGTTGATGTTTTAAACTGTTGTAAATGATTCATTGTAAACTTCTCCCTCTTCTTCCAGGATCCACATGTTGTTTTTCTGTCTTTTTCCACTCAAAGCTTCACAGTGAATATAAGTATGTTGTTTCCCCGAAGCTCAGTTCATAACCTGCTCTTCTGCATTTTCAACAAGTCTGAGCTCATTAAAATGGATACAAATGTTTGATTTCTCTTTCTTAATGGGATGTTTCCAAAGTTCTTAGTGTTTCACTCATTGTTGAAGCTCATCATTTGAAAATGAAAGCAGGTTTCTATGTTTCACAGTGACTGAGATCTTCAGTGGGGGGTCGACATGCTCCTGTACAGACCTCTGAGGAGAACCAAGGTGCAGTCAAAGAGTCCAGTCTGTCCTCACAGATGTGAACATGTGGTTTCTTTTTTTTATTATTATTATATTTTTATTGAAGAAAAAAAAGGACTTGTTACAATAATGTGCATTGATATCATTTAGTCGAGAAAAAAAAAAGAAGAAAAAGGAAAAAAAAACTTTCTTAGTCCTTTTGTTTTACATTCTGATAGCAAAAAGAAATAAAATAAACTCGGTGGCTTGACAGTGTGTTACATAATGCAGCATGTTTAACTTATTTACAAAGAATACATTAGGTACAAGGCAGCACGGTGGTTAGCACTGTTGCCGCACAGCAAGAAGGTCCTGAGTTCAATTCCACCATCAGGTCTTTTTGTGTGGAGTTTGCATATTCTCCCCGTGTTTGTGTGGGTTCCCTCCGGGTACTCCGGCTTCCTCCCACCGTCCAAAGACATGCAGCTTGTGGGGATAGGTTAATTGGATAATCCAAATTACCACTAGGTGTGAATGTGC